CAGGGGAAGCAGGCCGGCACTCTCTCCCGTTCCCCAACTCACTTTTCCATTCTTCAATCTCAAGTTCTCTGCTTTCAAAAGACTGGTCATAGGGGTCTGCCACTGGTTCATCGTCCGGGTCGTGATACTGAGCAAAGTAGGCGTGAGCCAGCGCTTCCGCCGCGGTAATTCGTTTGTCCGTATCCAGCACCAACATCTTCTCTAGCAAGTCCACAGCTGCAAAAGCACCGAAACAGAAAAGAGAAAAAGGATTTTACATTGGGAGCTCTGCGACATAAGCGTGTAAAAGCCCAATGTCTACGAGGAACCTGTAGGTTCTTAGGACCCACCCCGACATCCACCATTTCTTCCTCTTACACCCTCAGCCCACCCCTACTTTGTAAGCTTTGAGAACGGTATGTAGCTGTTCTGAACTACCTCTGCAGTCAAAACACAGCTTAGGAAAAGCCTTGGTGTCCCATGGCATGCTAGCCTCAGCTTCAGGAAGAGGACAACAGTTAAAAAGCAAGCCTTACCTAGCGGATTGGCACCAATAAACACATTTTCAAAGTTCATTTTCGGCATGTAAGACAAAGACTGAATGTAGTTTCTTGCCTGTGGAAATAAACGCTCTGTTGAAGTACAATCCAGTCCAGCCACCACGACAAAGCACAATTCAGTCATCCTGAAGCACCGGTTATTATGGTCTGCCTCCTTGCTTTGCCTTCTCTTTACTTATTCTGATACTTACTAAGCCCATCAGCATTACCCCTTCCCCACTAAAGGCCACTCAAGACAGCAGAGGAAGAGCTGACGCTACTCGAGGCTCATGCAAGAGTGAAAAGCAAAGAGGTGCTGCAAGAGCAGACTGCCCTGGAGCGCCGGCAAGGCCGCGTGCAGCGCGGGGTCCCTTGGCGAGCCGAGCGACACGGCCCACGGCGCAAAGCCAACTCACATCCAGGCTCTCCTGAGTCTGCGGCTGAGGACACACTGTCCAAGTCTCAAGCGTCCATCCAGTACAGAAGTGTTGCTGAAGAGCAGGCAGTTAATCACCCACCCCATGCTGCATGCGAGGGTATCGCTGACGGAAGCAGCGAACGCTGCAAGTGAAGCCCTGCCCTGCCAACCCCCCTCATCTGCTCAGGGCTCACCTCGTGGCTGGGCATCCTGTTAATGAGATAGGCAGGGGGTGTTCCCGTCAGACGCATGATCTGCTGAAGCTGGTTAATATCTTAAGTGCCTAGTCAAGGGCTTTGTTAAAAACAGGGCAAAAACCATTTCAAACAGAAAACAGCTGCATACAAAGCATCTCTTCTGCAAACCACAAGGCAAAAGCCACACAGGCAGGGTCCGCTGATTTTTTTTTTTTGAGATACTTGTGAAAAGTTCAGCAATTGCACCAGTGAGCACTTGAAACAACGGAGAATTACTGACCAGCTGGTAGCCGTGTCAGCACAGGAACGATTTCTGCCCGCCATAAGTAGCGTTACACTACGGAACGGTTGCATTCACGTTTCCCCAGAGTCTTAAGCCACCAGAGTAGACATTTCCTTTGGCTGAAGCTACTCCTCAACAGCTTTCCTAGGCTGTTACAGCTACATACAGCCTCAGGAAAATGAACAAAAATAAAAACAGAAACAAAAACTGTAACCTCTGCACTGGTTACCAGCTTTTTTTTTTTTCTTGCTGCATAGAAAGTACTTAAGTTCCTTGTGGTGCAAAGTGAAATCGGCTCACAACCGACACCTCCTTCTAAACAGCTTTGAATGCACTTGGATATGTGGGCGAGGTGACAGAAGGCAATAAATGCAAAATTAGCACAACATTAGCATTGCATAAGACAGAGTTAGCTGATGTCAGTGAACAGACAGAGAAAGAAAGAGCAAGAAAAGTAATGCAGCAGAAAACCAGAATTCGTTACAGTGACATGCTAAAGGCCCTCAAACACCTAATAGTTTTGCTATCTCCATACAAGGGAAAAATATAGTAGAAACAGTAGTTTACTGCATTTTTTTTTTTTAAGCAGAGGCTTGATTTGGACCTGGCTAAGAGCAATTATTCTTTTTATTGTGCATTGTTAAAAAAAAAAGACCCACTTCCATCTTACGTATGCAAACTAATCTTTTGCTTAACCTAGTCAACCTTTAAGCTCATCTCTCTCACTAATCCCCTGTACTTCAAATACCAGACTACCCTTAAGGTCACTTCACAGGGCACCCAAAGCCATCCGTGTTACTCAGTTCTAACCCCTCCAAGGGCAGAACATCCCAGGGTTTTTGAAACTGGGGTGATATTCAGCAAGTTGACCAACCGACTCCAACTTGCACCACGTATCTACCTTCATCAAACGCAATTCAGGGCTGACCTCGCATTCACCGTCACCGGTGCAGGGAAAAGAACCCAAGCTGCAGTGCAAAATCACCTGACCATCGCCCTCCACCGCGCTGATCCTCTGGTACGTATCAGAAACGGCAGGGACTGGCTCAAGAACGCTGCTCGTTACCTCTGCGCAAGCTCACTGGGCATCAACCTGTGAACCTGGGCCCTTACGGCATCTCTTGCTCCCAGTTTTACGCACGTCACCTTCAGAGCCAGGTGAAATTAAATGCCATTTCATACCGTCCTTGCAGAAGTTCATGATTCAAGATTAGAGCAATACAGAAGTGGCAGTGTGGCTGAAAACAGAGGTCACCCTTGAAAACAGAGGTCACCCTTTAAAAAGGGGACTGCAGCAAGCTCGATAGAAGGGCCCCGCACAGCAACACCCTTTAAACCCACAGCACCACTAGTGACACTCAGCAGGCTGCACAGTGTGTGCCCTGCAAACGGCTGCCACGTAAAAGCACCTAAAAGGCACTTGGGATTTTATGCTACAAACCCGAAGATGGTGGCAGTAGTTGTTTCAGACATTAATCATACTGGAGAAGGGACTGTGTGTGTTTAGAGGATAACACACTTGCTCCTGTTAAGAAAGATCCCTGGGTAGGCAATCTGGAGAAATAACCATCGAGCTGAGCCTCGAGCTCTTAGCTGTGAAAAATACGTCCCCAGCAGCATCTGATCACACAATATATCACGAAGTATAAACCCACAAACTGAAAGAAAAGTCACGAAGCAGTAAAATGAGAAAATGGAAGGAAGAAAATCGTACCACAGGCAGAGGTAAGAGAAATAAAGATCAGATACACACAGCATAAGAACCCAAAGCCATCCAAGAGCAAAGAATGACAAAGGAAGAAAAATAACAGAAAATAAATCCCAACACGTACTACAGATAGACTACAGGAGGGCAACACAGAAACTTGGGACTTCCGAGAGGGCAGATATTACAATCAAAGTGTAAACTCACAGACTCTGAGGAGATTTTCTTCAAAAGCTCAGGCCCTGGGGTTCCAACGAGTCTCAAAATGAGCTTCAACTGATCAATATCTAATGATGGACCATAAAGGAAAATGCTGGGACAAATCAAAATGAAAAGCGCAACATATCAGCCTATAAATGTTGAAAGTTAATGCCTGCCGAAGCCTCAACTGAAAAGCTATTTTAAGCAAAGTGTATTCATTCCTCTCGTTGACAATTGAATACCCCCCTGTAACGCAGCTCTGTCTGCATCAAACAGGCTGAACAACTCGTCTACAAACACACCACATGCATCGGACCGGTCACTGCATCCGTCACCATCGCGGAGCAGGAGCCGGAGCTTTCCCCCCCGCTGGCGAAGGATCAGCTCACACGCTCGCTTCGCCCGTTCCGGCCCCACGCCAGAGGAGCGGCCGGCAGCAGGATTAGGTTGTGTTAGTGAGAGACGAAGTAAAGCAGAAGGCTGAGAAGTGTAGGCATCAATATTCAAAAGTCAAGGCCTTTTGTGAACACCTTCCAAGGGAATTCAGCCACTTCTAAAACTTCCCAAGTAAGAAAACACCTGCACCCTGCTCATGCCCCACAGCATCCCTCCACCTGAACACAGGGAGCCCCTTCCTCAGGCCCAGAGCGGCCGGGGCGCTGCGGCCGGCACAGGGGGCTCGCCCCCGCCAGCGCCGGGACCAGGGGGCAGCAGGATGAAGCACCGGGATCTCCCTTCTGCCCTACAGACCCGCACAGAGGAACGGAACAGGGGCTTGGATTTAAAAATCTGTGTGGAAAGCTCTCGGGACACAACATTGCAGAGGCAAAGAAGGTTTTATCCAGAGCAGAGCTTCCACCAGGCCATGTACCAACCTGAGCTGTCCCCTTTAACAAGGCAGAAAAACTAAATCTCTGGCCTAAGTGACAAAACACATGATGGAGGGGGAAAAAAAAAATCCACTACAGAGGCAGTTTTATGTCTAAAACTCAAGATAAGGTGACACAAGGTTGTTGTGAGGTTTTTTTTAAACCATTAAAAGAATAATCTCCCTTCCCTGAATTATCCTCCATGCTGCCCTTCAAACCTACTGGTGATTTCGGACTGTGTCTGTAATGTTTATATTTGCCCTTAAAATTCTATCAAACTAGTTACACATTTTCCTGTCAACAAAAGAAGTCTACTTACTAGACAATGGTTTTTTTCCAGGATCAAAGCCATCCTAATGTTTTAAGACACAGTTAAAATTCCTTGTTAGAATATCTTTTAATTCAAGTGCTACAAGAACTTCAAAAACTGTCTCCTGTTTTTTTAAAAAAAGCCTCAGAGTTCCTGTAATACTGGCAAACTGTACCTGAAGGAAATCACCAATACTTTGTTAAAAAGTTTATCTTTTGATGTAAACTTTGGTCTAAAAGTTCTATACATGAAATTAATTAAAAGCCCCGGAGATAGTGCTTTGTCAGAACAGCTGAACTGATTTCTCACTTCTCAAGTAACTTGGCCAGCTCCCACCTACTTAAACACTCGAAACCTAAGAGTAAATCCAATGCATCTAGTTGGATTTAGCTTAGGCTGCTGAATTGCCAACTCTTAATTGTCAACGCTTAAAATGAAATCAGTTTATGCACTGGTGTAGGAGATCTAGCAGAGGCTGCTACACTAACCACAATTAGCTCATCTAAATTGGCTTTTCCTCAGTGCCATTTAAAACAGCCCTTACATCTTTCACTGGTTCTTGTGCAAGAAACAGTTGTGCAAATTTCAGACTCCTGACATGCCTCAGAAGCCACATGCCAGACCTCTGTTTGAATATTTAAATTCTTTTCAAGGCATTTAACATCATGTGCCAACAATACTGCTGCTCTGTTTGCTGTCAGCTCTTTTCCCAGGGAAAACTGCTCTTGGAAGAGACTTGTGTAATATGCTTCAGTCACTCCTCAGATAAACACGAGAGAAGGCAGAATGTGTACCTGGCACTGCCACGGGCATGCCAAAACCCAGCCCCTGCTTCTAGTTTTAGGCCTGCCATCTGAATTGCAGCATCTGTTTCACTACAGGGCCTGCCACGTCCCAGAGAAATGAGCCATAAAGCAATTAAAGACAGAAGAAAAAAAAGACTTAGTAAATACAAAGCAAAAGGAAAAAAAAAAACAAACCAAAAACCAACACCAAACCCAAACAGATGTGCATGGAGAAGGAAAGCGCAGCATGCAAACCCCAAACGCCATCGCCAAGGTACGCCCCACGCCCGAGGAGTCTCGGTGACCCTGAAGTTCAGGAGACAGCCTGCCGTCACCAGCAGGCAGCAGAGCTCACCCAGGCGAAGCAAAGCTCAGAAGTTGTTTTAGCTGCCACCACAAGCAAGAATAAGACGTATCAGAAGAATATGTAATTTCAGACTGGTTAGTTATCATGGAAGTCTCACACTCCTGAATAAAAACAGTAATAAAAATGCTCTTCAGAGTTTAAAGGGAATACAGTCAACTTAAAACACACAAAGAAAATTGGCTAAACCAGTACAAAACATTCAAGATATTCTTATTTACACTTTATGTCATTTTATGCAAGTCAAATTGTCAAACTTAAAAGTCAACTTTCCTACTTATTTGTATGAATCATTCACATTACAAGAGCTGTAAAACAATTAAGAACATACACGTTTAACAGAAACTGTTCTTGGCCTAAGACAGGCAGGATAATAACAACGAGAAAGTCTCTAGCTATGCCTCACAGTAAAAGCCCAAAGGACCTGATTTTCATTACCTCCATTTTTTTTTGGCCTGAGTAGTCTCTCCCACAATCTTGCTCCCCTTCTCCACCTCCTGGCAGAGATTTTACCAGCATTAGAAATCCATCTGTCATCCAAATATTTCCACCCATAGATTACAACTGGAACAATTCAACCAGCTTACATTCAGTCTGAAGTCAGGAATATAACAATCCTGCAGAGCTAAGCCCATATTAATCACAAGTTTTTTTTCTAAGTGTATCCACGATTCTTCAGTGACAGCCACGTTCAGAATCTTTACAGATTCGGTCCTTCAGAACTTAAAACTAAATTCAGCATTAGCTTTATCAGTGGCACAATCATCACAGACAGCACTGAAGATCATCATAGAATACAACTTTGTTACTTACCAGATTAAGTTAACTGTACAGCTTGCCTGTACTGGAGCCCCTTACAAGCAATATATGCCTCTCTGGGCCGTATAAAGATGTATCTGATGGACTGTAGATAACATCGTACCATTTCTGCTAAATCCTTGGTGAGAGAGCCATCTGAACAGGAGGATGATCATCCTGAGGAGGCATTACCTATTCTGTCACTATCCATCTCATTTTGGCAATATGAAGCTATATAGTTGAAAAAAATTAACATCTTGAGACCAAAACCCAAGAAAACTGTCGAATTTTCAGTTGTCAAACGGGAGCAGTTCCCAGCTTCCTGAACACAGGACACAGTCACGTTGCCTCCAGCTGCAAAGTGAATTCCCTAGAACTGCAGTGGATGTGGATACACTATATCCGTGGCTACCAGAAGCAGGGTAGATATACACCTTGAATTAAGCACATTAACATCAGTTGCAAGGTCAGTCCGTCAGCAATTGCACAGTGACACTGCAGGAGGAACACAAGCCTCAGCAAATCTGTGGGTACAAAGACATTATTAAGAGCCCAGAAGTACCCAAGAGGATCCACACCCGGAAAATTCCTAAAGCTTTCTCCAAAAATCATGCATATATCAAGATTTCAGAGCCTTTCAGACAGGCTTCCTTCAAGACAGAAAGAAGCTAGAACCCATCATTACCTTACTTCTGCTTGCTGTCTTTAGAGGTCAGCAAAACGGGAGCGAAAGCTGGCAGCTTGGTGCCTCCCAGATCCTTTGATAAGTGTTACAGGCACAAACAAGATTCACAACCACAAACCCTGCTCCCCTTACAGTTCTAACCTCATGATCAAACAGCACACGCGTTACCTGAAGTGGGGAACCACACACACAAACTCTAAGAACTAGAGTCCTATGAAGGTTTATCTGCCATGGGAAAGGATTGGGCCTTATTTGTCTTAACATCCAACTTGGAACAGAAAAAGTGTTTAATTCAAAAGCGTTACTAGCATTGGCGAAAGAAACTGAGCATTTAAGGTAAAGAGCATCTGCTGGGAGGTGTAAAGTTTAACAGGACAAAGCAAACAATTTAAATCCTAAAAGTAAACTTCATTGTGCACTGTGGATATTATTGGCTGCAATTCACAGCTACGAACACAGTTGGAGGAAAAAAACTTCTCAGACTCAGAAGATAACCAGTTTGCTCCATCCATAACGAACACATGAAGCACTTCTGACACACTGCAAACCCTGTGAGCAAACATTTCATCTGCAAGGATCAAGACTTTAAAAATCTGAAGTGTCACTGTTACTGGGGTCAACTAAGGGCAATATTTAAAGCTTAAGGCTTTTGCTTTGTTTGAATCAACAATTCTTGATTTCTCCTTTTTTTTTTCTTAAAAGAAAAAAAACCAATCTGCCCAAACCAAGTTCTATGTGCTAAATCAGCAGACAGAAATATGGCAACTTCCAGCTTCTAAGCCACTTCCATGTTAGTTCTGCTTCTGTCTCTGACAACAGAAAAATAGAGCAAAGATGACTGAACAGCAGAGTACAGCAAGTTCAACAAATCTGGAGAGAGACTGTGAGATGGAGACAGGCAGAAAGAGAGAAAAAATGATCAAGTTAAAGCACACTGAAAAGGGAGGTGAAACTGTGTCAGAACTGGAATGAAAGCCCCACCACCATCACCCAAAGTGTTCTGGAATCTAGATGCTTTTCAGAAGTAACGTAGTACACAGCAGGCCAGCACCTCCAACACTAGTTTTCTTTTCATCAAATACTAACAGATTGGAATTAACAGGTATAAGTACTAATAAATTAACAAAAGTTATTTTAACAAACAAACTGTGGTTGAAAGAATAAACTCTGGTAAAAGGTGGGCAATGTAATTTTCTCTGGCAAATAAAGTCAGATTTCTAGGCAATGACAAATCTTGACAGTAGTAAGTTACCCCTAACCACCATGTGGCTGAACAAACAAAAGCTGTAAGAGTAACAATTTGCATCAAGTCTCAGTTCTAACTTCCTGGGGAAAAATGTGACCCAGTCTCACCAAGCGTGCCCTCATAAGTTTGCAGAAATGTCCTACCCAGCCCACTTTGGTACAGCAAAAAAAAAAAAAAAAATCTGAAAAGACATTAGTCAAGCTTGATTTTCACATCGATACAAGCATACAGTGAAAGAAGGCTCACAATCTGTTTACACTCAAGCAGGGAAGCGGAGCCTAAACATTTCAGAGTAATTTGGAATGAGATCCTTGACACTAAAGAACCTGCAAACCCACTGCTTTCACAGCGTGCCACAGGGTACGGAGAGGCCAGAAGGGCTGCTTCACATTTGCTAGAAACCTGAAGCGTGAGAGGGTTCCTCGCAGACAGCCTACTGCATGCAGTTATCTTCTACAAACTCAAAGAGCAAGGAATTTAAATAAACTTAAGGGAAAGTAACTCCCAGAAACAAACACCATGTGAGTAATTCCAGTGATGCTAACAGACAATAAAGAGGAACAGATCTGCCTTCTTGCACACTGTGATTGTTTCATGTGCAGCAAAATCAAGAACTCACCTCATCGTACTGTGAGTAAAAAAGCCATTAATTTAAAAACAAAAAACACCCACGACCAAACCCAGAACTTCTTTTCTTGTGAAGTACGTGGTGTACATCTCTAGCTTCCACTTCAAACAACAGATTATTTTTAAAGGATACGGTCTGTACCAGGGAACAACGTTCTTCCAGTCAACAGCTCAGCCATAATGCATCCCACTGACCAAATATCAACTGAACAAAATAAAATAAAAAACAAAACAACATAATGCAGAAAAATACAGTCTCAATAGTCACCCTATCCAACAAGTACAAACAACTTGACCCTCGGTTTTATGGCGCTGAAACAAGCTCGGACATGTGGCAAGCTAACGGGTAACGCTCAGTAGCTGCGCCGTCAAGACTTGCCTGCGTAACAGAACACTGGATCGGGCCAATTTTCCTTCCAGAGCACAACATGCATTGAACACCAACGAGCTGGGGAGGAATCTACACAACCAAAGAGGAAGAAGCCTGTTCCAGAGAACTCTGAAGAATGAATTTGCATGTGGCCTTACATAAATTCTACCCAACCAACCACCAACTATTGCAGTACAGCTATAAGACAAGTCCATGTACATGCAAGAGGAAAAGAGAAGAGAAGAAAAAGCAGTGAAGTATGAAAACAGAGTAGCACATTATTTTCTTTGATCCATAGGCTCTCCTGTACAAGAACTATTCTCAGCATTTGCTTTTCTTCTCTGTGCCTGATCTGGAAGTACTGTAGGGAAGCAACGGTGTGTTGCTGAGAAGATACTGGAGACTGTGAAGAAGATACAAGTGTGAAGAAGTGGCTAAGAGGAGAGGAAAGGAAGGGAGGTTTATGTAGTTTTTAGCATTTCTTCACACCATAACTCCAGACATTTTTCAGCATATTCCCAGCAGCTTCCTAGAAACACACCTTCTCCTCACCCAGACACATCCCCCTCACTTTAAAAACCACTGTGCCAGGAAAAATAAGGGATAAGTGCTGACAATATTTTGCTGACTGCAATTTCAAAGGTTTGAGTTTAAAGAAGTCTCATGAACGTTATCACAACAATTCATAACTTCTATCTGGTAGACTGTGGTTCAAATACTAATTCTATGCCTGCCTTTTAATTACCATGACCGCCAACTTACACGGTCAAATGGAAAGGAGCACGGGCAAAGGACAATCTCTTTTTCCCCCCTCCTATTCAGGAACTGAAAAGCCTTGGGTCAGTGAAATGCATTACCTGTCTGGTTGTAATGCATCCAGTTCAGCATGATCTCAGGAGCCCTGTACCACCGGGTAGCCACGTACCCGGTCATCTCATCGTCCGTGTGTCGGGCCAAGCCAAAATCCAGGATCTACAGAACAGAAAAGACATCCACCAACTGCTGCAGTGGAACGATGCAAACTAGTTGGAGCAAATAACTAGGCAGTTTTGGGACTGGGTGGAGGAGCGGTGGTGCAACCGCAAAAGCAGATTATGAAAGTACATTTCACAACCTGTTAAAAGTCAGCAGCCTAGAACAGCGTAGGACTCGACAACCAGAATCACATCTGGGTATCCTCTCTCTAAAACAACTAAACCCAAGCTAAAGCTGTTAACTCTTCGCTTGCACAAAGATTCCTAAAAACACAGGAACATGGTCGGTAAAACCATCCTTACAGCTCTTTGAGGCTACAAAGGACATTGCTTTGGGCCACGTAAGTATTTCCATACGGAATTATTTTGTCCCTTTACTTCCAAGGGACATCCACAAGGCATTCACTCAAAACACAGTCAAACCAAGCAGACCTTGTGACTACCTTACCTTCAGCTCGCAGTCTTCATTTACAGCTAGGTTACTAGGTTTTAAATCCTAAAAAATTAAACAACATCAGCATTAACAGTGGTATGTATGTTGCTTCACAAGCCTAAGTAGACAAAAATATAAATACAGATAGAAAATAGATTCTAACTGGCTGTAAACATCAACAGACTCAGGAAAATTACTTTATCCCAGAGTCAGCTATCTCTTCTGTGGTCCTCAGAGGTGTCACATCAAGCAAACATGCATAAAGGCTTATTGCAACACCAGTGCTGTCAATGGATATTGAACAAATAGAGAACCCATTTCACCAAGATACAAGCCAAACACCGGCAGGAACAGAAACTAAGGACCTTGACAACCACTTCCCATGTTTAACTGGAATAGTTATCAGAAAATTTCTTCTTGTTTCTATAGGTGCTACACTGGAAGGTTCTGCGCTACATTTTTTAAAGATGTTGGTTCGGTACACGAAGCAATCTTGGGGTAAATACTCACCCTGTGTATTATGTCAGCTGAATGGATGTACTGTAAAGCAAGACAACAAATTTTATCTAACAGTCCGAACAGCCTCCGTCTCATTTCTTCGCTAGACAATACTGCCCTACCCCACCCCAGGCAATTCAGCTGCTACAGCTGGTCTGCAGAAGGAACCAAGCGGGCGGCGATGGGTTTCAAGCAGGCAGGTGTTCCACTCTGCTCTCCTCAGGAACACGCAGGAGCACTGCCACCACGGGCAGAACCACTCAAGTAAACAAAACTGAAGAAAGATTCCTAGTCAGCGCAGATTAGAGGGCAGCATACTTCATCATTTTCCAGACTCTACCCATAGGAACATACAGAAATATATTCTTAAATGATATCTCGCTTTACTGATACAGAGCTCCAAAGAGGTATGAAGTGAAAGAAAGCAATAGGAAGTTATCCTACGATATGTTAGGGAAGTTACAGAAGCCCCACTGTGTACCCATACGAATCCCTGAGGATATGACATTCACCAAGAACCTCCACCCCCCGTTGCTGAGCTATCGACGCTCAGGCAGGACAGGCACAAGTACCTTCAGTCCCCGAAGAATCTGGTATATGAGGAACTGCACATGGTCATCGGTGAGTTTCTGGCATTTCACAATGTTATTCAGATCTGCTCCCATCAGGTGTGTCACCAAGTACCTACGAACAAAAGGAAACACGCTGGCTATGAGGCAATCCCTTCAACAGGATTAGGATAAAAATCCCCTAAGAAGCTCCAGGGCTGAGTGTCCCAAAGCGTGTTGCTGAATGAAATACAGTTCACGACACTTTAAATGATGTAGCAGATTAGTACAGCGATTCCTACAGCGCTGGTCAATAAAATACAAGTGAACAAGTTTGAAGAGCCCAGTAGTTTAGGATGTCCTAGTATCTTTTGTTTCGGACTTCAGAATTGTTTGAGAATGATGGCAGACAAACAAAGGTGGCAAATATTTCTGTAACCATCTGGGAGACCCGAGGAAGATACAAAAGATGATTTGTTGCAGTCTTCAAAGAAGTTACCTACACATCATTGAATTCTTCTAAGGACTTGGCAGGGGTGAACACATCCAACAAGCCAATCACCTAGAAAACAAAGCAGTAAAGTGAAAAAGCTGTGAAATACATTCATAGTGTAATAGGAATACGGTTACTAAGGTCCTTTGTGGAATAGAAACTACTTATTCCTGTAGAGGTTTCATTTCCAACTACACGAATCATTCAGAAGTTGACAGATTAGTATTCACGCAAGATCAGAAACAAACGTCCAATTCTTGTGTAAAAAAAAAGTTAAAAATATACAGTTGCCTTTTCACAGCTGCCATCCACTCCACTTAAAGCATCAAAGCGGAGCCATAAAAGGCAGGTGTAAGCACCAGTTTAGAATACCTCATTATAAAAAAAAAAACAACTAAATTTGTTCAGGAAATAAATGGATGAGAGAAACAACAAACCAACCACCAGACAAAACTGTTTGCTTCCTGCTCAGTTCTTAGTTACACTGCTGACTACACACTCAGATCAGAATTGGGTGACTGTACGTTTCACTTGTACTGAGTAATGGCTACAAAAAAAAATAAATCAAGGATCTGTAACACAAGCAATGAATAATGATGACTACACTAGAAAATAAGTCAGGGAAACAGTGCAATGCAGTGAGAACCCGGGTTTCACAAACAGCTGACAGCTTCACGCCGTCATCTGTATTTTCTGCCCAAGGAGCAGCTACCCCACCTTTCATTGTGCAGCTAGACTGTTCCAGCAGTAGAGACTAAAACCAGATGCACGTGTTACTTTTGTGGAAAAGAAGAACTATACCTTATTATCCCATAATTATCTTCTAGGTAACTGACAGCATAAAAAAAAAAGCTATCTGTCCGATAAAGTTTATTCTGTTTTTCATGAAATGTGCTTTTAAACCTTGTTTTCCTTCTCTTAATAGCAAATACTTTATGAATATGAGAGGCAGGTTCTCTTCATCCACCTTGATAAAAACCTGCTCTTCCCTTTCCAAGCCAGCATCTCCCTTGCCTGTGACACACGAGCACCACGCGCATTTCAGCAGCTTCAGCACCGGTCCAAGCGTGCACACGAAACCAAGAGCTGGACGCCCGTGTTCCCCCTCAGCACCGTCCTTTTCATCCCTCTCAAGGAGGTCAGAATCAACTGAATTACCTTTAAGCAGAGAATTAAAGACAAAAATCCTTGGGAACCTAGACTACGCTTTTGGAAAAGACAGTAAGCGGGTAGGAAATAGAAGCCTCTGTCTAACCTAGGCTATACATTGCAGGTCACAATTTATTGAGGAAACTGAAGAGAAAAAACACTTTCCTGCCTCTCCTGATAGACATCACAGCAACGCCGTTTCTAGACAGACCTCTTCAAACTGCTACATGCACATCCATCCTGTGCCACAATTCTTGTGCTTACAGTTTCCTTCTCCAGTGGACTCTGCCATATCAGTTTTTACAGAAAAATTCAATGTTATGCACCCAGTTTAGCATGGAAAGACAAAAAAACCAACTTTGCTATCTAGGCTTCAGGACTTTTTAATTTATCACTTCTATCTGCAAAGCACAGTGTCAAACTATCCATATCTTTCATCGAGTTTCACAAACACTTAAATACAGTTATTCTGCAGAGAATCACTGACTCACTTCTAAGGAAGTGTGAACACCAGGAGCTTCAGAACCAGTCTCCTAACCTTTTGCTTTCCCCTCCCAGCATTTCAGGATGTCACAGAGCTTATTAACTTCTTCATATGACAACAAATCCATTTGCTCTCCCATCTGCTCAGTGTTGTGCTTTATGCAAGCTAACAAGGCCTCCTGGAACTTGAAAATATAACGCAGACACACTCGAGTGCTCTGCGGGTCCATGTATTTGCTCAAGCTCCTCACGAACCCGACCAGATATGGTTCAAGGCTCAAGCCGCTTAAACCGCCGTACCTTCCCGATTTGCTGGCACGTTCTGTGCCACGTAAACTCAAGCGTTTTAAATCTCAACTGAGATCTCAAGAGTCAAGACAGTAGCACTCATAAGCCTGCCCGAACTGGCTCTGCACATCTCTGCATCTGCAGGACTTTTAAACCACAACCTAGATAAACTTGCCACAGATAGATGACAGTACGATGAACTGATAATAAATACTTCTATATATAAACAACTTAACTTCCTTTTATCCCTTACACTTAAAGCTACATAGGCTCTTTGCAATACTAATCCAAAAATGTTAATGAATGCCAGACACAGAACTGTTGTAGCACCAGCCACAATCTAACTGTCATTGCTTAACCTCATTAGTTTAGACAAAATGGATTGATATGCTGGGTTTTTTTTTAATTTTTTGTAACAGATACTCAAAGCTTTCCTGTTTGGAGAATCTCTCAGCTACGAGAAAAGGTCCAGAAAAACCTCCAGGGGGTGGATATGAAGCAAGATCCAATGCTACCCCTACTGTTGAGACAGCGGTGTCGTACAGAGTCTCTGAGGAAGAACTGTTGACAATAGCGCATACACACACCAGAAGTTCCAATCACATACCACACTAAAAACGCCAAGAAAATTTACAGGATACCAGCTGCTGACTGCGGTGGTTAGAAGCCGCAGCACACAACCACCGCTGCCACAACAGAAGAAGTTCTGAACAGACCATCCAAGAAGAACCTTCCAAAGAAGTTTGGCTTGTTTGGCTTTTTGTGCTAGATAAAGGTCCTGGGCTTGCTCAGCTCACTTCCAAACCAGTATTTCCCTTCTGCTGAGTTCGGGTTTGCTTGGACAAAAGAAATCAAGAGCCTTCCTTCCCTCTTGACTTTCTGACAGCTCTACAGAGGGCAGGTTATGAGACTCTTTGCTCCACTGCATGTAACGTTTGCTCCAAACAGCATGCAGTAGAAATATGTTGGTGCATTAACGCCACAAACATACAGAACTGGTTAACCAACTGTTTTCTACACCAAATGGAGGTTATATCAAAAAACAGTTCAACAAACATTTGTCGCATGCTATTTTGTTTCCTTGTTGATGATTTAAGTGGATGGCTTGTACGGAAAGCCATCTCATTTCCACCCCCTCACCACCCCCTTTTTTCCTGCCTGTTTTACCTACAGGAATCCAGTGAACACCTACTCCACACCCTTCTGACACAGGCAAGCCAAAACAAACAAATATGAAAAACCCTCCAGAAGACACTAAAAACAAACTTTGAGATTTTCTTCTTAAAAATAAATTCTTAACATAACAAAAACTACAGCTTACCACAGCAAACGAGCAGGAGAATATAAGTGACATTACTCATGTCCTAAATCCTTAAGAGAGCATGAACCTCCTAAGCAGTAATTTCCAGATTACTCCATGAAATATTAAGATTTTTTTAATACAAAATTGATTATGTATTTTGGGGTGGTTTGGGTTTTTTTTTGATTTTTTTAAACTGCACGCTTTTCTACAACTATAATCCCTTGGACTACTGCAAGCTTTGTATTTAGTATTAGAAAAAAATGTATGCAACAAGATCTTTAAATGCAATGATGATGGATGCCCACTGGATAGCCCAACTTCAGGCCAACTTTTGATACCACATCCTCCAACTTACATTTTCGTGTTTCATGTGCTTAAGTAGCCGCAGCTCTCGGTAGGTCCTTTTGGCGTGGATGATGGACTGAAATGGTCGGGACAGCTTCTTTACAGCCACACGCAACCCGGTTTTCGTGTCAAAGGCAGAACTACAATAAAGAGTAATCAGGTTACCAAAATTAATTATTTATAAACACCTTCAAATCCACACTGAACAACTCCAGATAGCAGCTATCTGGACACTGAGACGCAGCCAACACCATTTCTCCATTCCTGCAAGAAAAATAATTTTTAGGTATCCTGGTCCACAACCTGCATCCCCACCCAAAATCCCATGTATTTACACAACCGACTGTTTCTACAGAAAATGTTAAAAGATGAGTCTTCACACAAGTAAAGGGAACTTTCACAGATAAAAAAAAGTTTACAATTTTTCTGTCTAAAAAGAGTTGTGCTCTTAAACATAAATACGGCAATAGAAGTCTGGAGAGAGGAAGGACTTGTAAATATTACATATTTTCATACATCACACTTCATCAGAAAATGCTATTTTCAAGATACTCTCACTTATGGTTTAAGTCCATACAAAAATCCAAGGCCTGTGCCTCAAAATCAGCTATGATGGTTGTTAATCACAACTGAAGCTGAAATCAAACCTCTTCAGTAAACCACATCTCATCCTAAACTCTTGTTATACAAAAATGCCTGCGAAGAAGTCATATGTAGGTGTACACTGCTAAAACTTGTCCCTTTAGCAGAAACTTATACATAAAACCTGTATACACAAATAATGCTTCTTCTTAGAACCCACAAAGAGTAACTCCATCCTATTTGGTAACTTCAGAGAGAGAGAGAGTTGATATCTTGTACTGTAAAATAATCTTTTGAAGTAAGGCCTATTACAACCTATTTATTTATAATATTAAGAAGCAAAAGCCTGATACTTCTGAAACAACCACAAATTTAACACATGAAGAACTAAGTTAAATTTCTGATATTCTGCATAAAATCTTCCAGAGCTTAGGGCTTATACACGAGGAACTAAAGAAATGTAAGTATTTAGCTGTGAACTAAATCACTCCTCTCTCGTCTTCAATGTTCTTATCTAAAACAGCTCTGGTTTGTCAAAAAGGAAGGAGAAGGAGAAAGAGAGGATGTGAAATCAAGGTTACACTTGATTCAAGAAAACAAACAAGGGGAAAGTATGGAATGGAGAAAGTCAGAGAAGGACAGTATTTATTTATTTTCCTGCTGCATTTTAATTCATGGCAAACTCGATTCCATTTAAAAGTGAGTGTGCACTAGTTCTCGACAAACATCAAGTGAAAAGCAAAGCTATACAGCTGTAAAAGAAAGTGTGAAGCAGCTTAACAGAAAGTTCAAAACCCATCACAATAGTCCTGGAACAAACCCACAACTGCACGTACAACCCTCACTCCCCACCAACGCAGCTATCTGAAATAAACCTAGTTGCCATTTATTTTTAAAGCAACTAACTGGAATTAGCTTGCAAAAGGACTCCTTATCTCAAAGTTGCTCCGTTTCCAAGGACCTTTCTATATGAGGTTCATGAGAAAACAGAAAACAAGATGCAAGCTTGCTCTGAGGGACAGCAATCCTTCCCCCAGGTCCTGCAAGAGAACGGAAGAACCCGCTGCGCACGATGGCAGAAGAGTATCTCCTGCTCTACAGAGGGGCATCCAGTGGGAAGAGCTCTCTGGAAAAGACACAAAAATACAGCGAGACAGAAAATCCCAGGAGCCCCAGCCTGCCACAGTTGAATCACTCGAGCTACCACACTGTCCCAGAGAATGCTGTTACCAACCTCTTCCCACACACGAGGCGTCCCTTCCACCTCGCTCAGCCCAGGCAGACCAAAGAAGCCATTAAGCATTGGGTTTTTAATCTGAATTTCAAATCAGCAAGTTTTCACTCACCACTAGAACATTGATATTTAAGCTGCAATGAAACACAGAGTTCAATTTTTTTTTTCAAGCTTCCTGCGCACCATTTCACAATACACAAACATACCTAATTCAGGCTGTAATTATAGGACAATATTTTAACGACACTCAAGGTGTTTTCTAGGACTTAGAGCAAAAATAAGATTAGTCATCATAATTCAACACATACTCTTGTGAATTAGTCATGAATCTTTACCAGCTTTCAAACATTTCAGGTACAAAAGGCAGCACATACCAGTATCTCTTTCATCTTGACAAGAAGGGGATCCCCTGCACGTTAACCACCTTCACAGCTACACAGTCACGTTTCTCTCTTGCTTTCCACAAGATTCTCCTCAGAGAAGATATCGGAGCCACCAGACGTAGCATAAGCTATCTCAGAGTCCAAAACAAATTCAATTTCACCCAATTTTTAATGACATTTTGGGGGGTCATATCCAGCCATCATTCCACTGTAGCGGAGGTAGAACCTCCAAGGAGAACTGCAACCAGCGGGACTGCGAAACTTTGACCAGCACAAAGACACCGTGCACAAGCCCAAGGAAGAAAATCCTGTGTTACTGCATATTCACGACCCAGAGTTACTCGAAGTCAGCAGAATTCTAAATTGGGTCATATTTGAGGCCTAAAGACTATTCCCCTACAGATAAAGGCACACAGCAATATCCTGCCAATACAGATAACGGCCTAATGGTTTTCAGGAGTGCAGAACCCAGAGCCACAGAGCAGCTGTCACCTTGGAGAACTGTTTAAAGAAGACTAAGCTGGCTTTCATCACAGACTTAAAACAGCTGCATCACGCTGATCATATTTCAGCTAAAAAAGCCCTACTGGGAAAAAAAATTACACAATCCACAGTTTTAAATCCCGCTTCAAACAAGATCAGCACAAATTCAGAATTTATCACAGCTTCCGTGTTTTTTACATAGCACTGCACTACAGCACAGGAACTGCATCACCTCACCCTGAGCTAAATCTCCAACTCCGAGCTAAACTGAATTGAATCTAGAACACAAGAGCTAGAATAAGACAATTATTTTAGAGAACCCATCCACTGCTTCAACTTATATCTTCTTAGACATAACATTTGAAGTAGTCTGAGGCACTGAAGTACAGACAAAATTACTTAAGAGTGCAATTTATTTAAACATTAGATAATCAGAACGCTAATTTTTGTGCAGACTATTTTGCTAAACAGTATGCTGCACATTGCTACCGCCTATGCAAATACTCAGGCTAACTGAATCTCTTTAGTGGTACCTTTGGAGCTAATTTATGCACCCCTACAGACAGAACTGTCATACCTGACAGTTTATCATTACGCCAGTCACTTCTGAGTTCAGCCTACACATGTGTTTCAATCGGTTATTTACCCTCCCAACACACCACAAAAAGCTGTAAATCTTACTTCCCTGCTACATTGGCTTCTGCTTTTAAGAAAGCTGCAATGAAAACCTCCCTACAGCACAGATGTGCTCACACTCCTTTCATTTCTTAAAGCACAAAGTTCCCATGAAGTTCAAACTACCCACCTTCGCTTTCAGAGCTCTGCTTAAGGCTCTTCTGTGCCTGTCCATCTCCTACTCTGTCCCCCTTCCTCACATGTGCTCTGCTAATCCTACCTGTACGGCTGCTTCAGCCCACTCAGTTTTACAGTTCCTTTCATATCTCTCCTCACTTACCTGCCACACCTCAGTGCAGAAGCAGGCACCTGTCCCTCCGAGCACATATATACTTTGGGGGCACTTGCACGCTTTGATAAGGGATTAGTAAACCTAAAGATACACGTTGGTTAAAAAAAAAGAAAAAATCCACAGAGGAACTAGAAAGGTGACAGTCAGCATTGTTACTTCATCTCCTCTGGAGCCTAATGTTTTAAAAATTTCTTAAATCCATAGTGTTTCTCTGTTAGTTTAAAAAGAGGGGAATTCTCTCAGTACCTTCATAATACCCAGGAAATTCAGGGTCAGTGTTGGTACAACTGTGGGTCAAAATGGGAAGAAATCACAGGTTTTAAGGCCTATATAACCTGGCAGTCTGCAAACGTAAGCTAAACAATCCTAGTGCAAGATTCCAAGGAAGAGTAAGTCTTGGCTGCTCAATTCCTTTCCGGATTGAATAAGGCAGTATTTACAGAATAAGGCTATATATACCTATAAGGTAGCCTGCAAGGCAATGAAACCAAAAACCTTCTTTTACAAAGGTATCAATGCAATACTCTGAGAACTGCCACAAAAAATACAACAACAAAGGAAACTCCTAAGAGTAGACTGAGTCTGCCTTCACGGCGTTTCAGAAACTGATGGCAAAGATCATCAAAAGACCACTTGGCTTAGCTTGGAGCTGGCTGCACTAACGCTGTGTGCTGAGACTTCCCTCCAGCAGCACAAGAAACGAAGCGATCCTCCAGCTAAGCTGTGAGTCACCCATCGATCCCATCTCCATTCAGCAACCTCCCACTGCAAGATGCTGCATTATCCAGGCCCTCTCCGCCTCGCATGAAGTATTACAAGCTGATCCTTCAGAAACCCACGTGTTTAGTGCAGACCTGGTTACAAAATCCTTTTCATGCAAAAGACGATGTTGTACGAATAGACAAAACTGTTGCAAGAATAAATGAAATAGCATTTCACACCACAGATGTCACAGCAATGGGTATGTGACCTGGTAATGAACAATCTGAGGCTACGTATTGATGTTTCTCAAAGTTTTGCTGAATCCCTACTTGTATCTCCACATACTTCCAGCTTTTAAAAAACAGAGCTTGAAAAACACCCAAGTTGGCTGTTTGAACCTCCTTCTTCCCACACTGCACACAAGACTTCAGAAAACACTGGAATATTTGCTCTAAGTTTCAAGCACACACCTTGGGTGCCTTAAGCTGCCTGCAGAAAATGCCCCTCTCTCCATCCACCGACTACAAAATAAAGCCAGGTTCTTCTATCAGGTGTTCTGAGTCATACTCACATCAGGCACTTAAAGCAGCCTACAGCAGACAGCTCCATTCTCTAAATGATTCATCTGCTGGCTTAATTCTTCCTTTTTTATTAATATTCCCCTCACTTTCTAGAAATTCCTCATTTTTAAATGCCTCATCTTGACAACTAAATAAACAACATTTTATTACATTGTAATATTATAACGCAGCAAACATAAACTGAATGTTTAAATATACTTCCGTGTAA